ATTAATCGATTAATGTTTTTCTGACGATTAATTGCACACAATACGATTATGCCCAACCCTAATTGTAAGATTTTCTTCAGATAAGAACAAAATTCATGAGTGCGTGACTGCTCTTCTGAAAAAATTAAAACTATGTAGCACGGGTGTTTACACTTAAATTAACAATATTTGACCAAAGGAAAACCAGAGCAGGAGTAGAGAGAGATGAATATGATTTAGATTTTTATTTCTGTGACAGGAGACACGACATTAACAACAGTCGTCATTTCATTCCTCGGCTTCAGCAGCTCCTTTAATTCCACAGCTGACGCTGCTAAAAATGACATTTTTTCTTTTCTGGATCTCTGAGAGCAGAACTTTAATCTGTGAACTCTGAAGTTCCTTTTTTTTACTTTGTGATGTCATTTATGAATGAACACTTCCTGGTATGTGAGACAAGAAACGTAGCCTTATATGGTGTTTTTAGGGTGGTAATTATGCTAATTATACCTGATACACATTCATCAGTTCACGCAGCTCATTTACATACTTTTTCTGACGATAGAAGAGTTTGTTGAATCTGACGTGACATGTTCGTACGAACCCTTCATACGAACAAAAGTAAGAGAAATTTAGGATAAGAATACTAACATGTTCTTGCACGAGGCCCATTGATTTAATCATAAAAGTCTTCATAGATTTATTAAAAGAAGGATTTCAAAGCACTGCTCAGTGTTTCAGCTCATTCTGAACTCAGTCTGTCTTTAAAGTTGGACATAAAGGCTCTCGTCTCTGGTTGTTTCTGTCCTCAGACTCCTGTAAAGATGGCCGCTGCCCTGAGACCGCTCTACGCTGCTCTCCTGGTTCTGTCGGGTTCTGCCTCAGTCAGCGGGAACCTGCTCCTCCTGCTGGTGCTCCTTCTGAACAGGGAGCTCCGGTCCAACACGCCGGCCTTCACTCTGAGCGCCGGCCTCAGTGACCTGGCGTTGGCGCTTTCCACCGTTCCCTTCGCGGTCCACAACGTGCTGACTGGGCCGGTTGAGTTCTCCAGCGAGGGCGCCCTCTGTCAGGGGAGCGGCTTCATCTTCCTCCTCCTCCAGACCTCCTCCGTCCAGTCGCTGACCTGGGTCACCGTGGACAAGTTCTCAGAGATCTGCTTCGCCCTGAGCTACCGCAGCGTGTGGACGGTGCGGAGGAGCCGGGCGGCGCTGGTCCTGCTCTGGCTCTTCAGCRCGGTCACAGCCTCTCTGCCGCTCCTGGGTTTTGGTAAATATCACTACAGTGAGCCRCGCGCCCTCTGCTGCCCGGACTTCACGCCCGGCAGCAGGTACTTCGTGGCSCTCTGGGCGACGTTCGGCATCGCGGTGCCGATCGTCTTCATGTGCTTCCTGCACGGCTGCATCGTCTGCGCGGCCAGAGAACAGGCMAGGAGGGGCACCTTCATCTGCAACGAGCTGCACTGCTCCCACGTTCCCGCTAACAACTACCTGAGGAGCTCCATGGTGATCGTCACCAGCTCAGGTGAGACCGCCTCCAAACTCTGCTTTACTACCTGGGCTTCAGACGGGCTGAAGGTAGAACAGATGAAATGCAGTGGTGGGCACTAAACCTCTAAAGCACTAATTGCGGACCTAAATTTTCCTTTGCGCTTTAGGGGTTTTACTAATTTCTTTAAATGATGTGCAGATTTGAGCTTTCTAAATTTAGAGTTGAGCAGCGCTAATCGCAAATAATGTTTCACAGTCAAACATGAATTTTGTCTAAAGTAAAGAGAAAGAGCTGTTTAGTCTCACTATGTTTTGTAGCCACTTCATTCATCAAAACTTTATTTTCCTGATCAATAAAGGGTAAAGCCATCTCTTCTTAACACAATGGGCCTCATGCAAGAACATGTTCGTATTCCTATCCTAAATTTCTCTTACTTTTGTTCGTACAAAATGTTCGTACAAACATGTCACGTCAGATTCAATAAACTCTTCTATCTTCAGGAAAAGTGTGTAAATGAGCTGCGTAAATTCCACCTGTTCGTATCCAGCTGCTCGAGCACGCGAGAGGAGATTAGCATAATTACCACCCCAAAAACACCATATAAGGCTATATTTCCTGCCTCAGATACAAGGAAGTGTCCATTCATTCATGAAAAT